CAGTTACCATTCAATAAAAAAAAAAAAAAAAAAAAAAATCTATCAATTTAACAAATACCCTCAATATATCATTTTATCCACTATAGTCCTGTGCATTGTATCCATAAACTTGTTCCAACATCATCATTATTAAAACTATCATTAATTTCTAGATTTAAAACCTTTTTATTGGTGGCTCCTGTAGCTCAGTGGGTAGGGCTTTGGCCACATATGCTGAGCCTGGTGGGTTTGAACCCAGCCCGGGCCAGCTAAAACAACGCAACAACTGCAACAACAACAAAAAAGAGCCAGGCATTGTGACAGAGGCCTATAGTTCCAGCTACTTGGGAGGCTGAGGCAAGAGAATCGCTTAAGCCCAAGAGTTTGATGTTGCTGTGAGCTGTGATGCCACAGCACTCTACTCAAGCAATAGCTTGTGACTCTGTCTCAAAAACAAAACATTTTTATTAGAAGGATAAAGTCACGCTACAGACCACATACTGCCTTTTCACTATCACACTTACTTCATTCACTTGTCCTGATATTCACATACAAATGATAGTTGCCATAGATACTTGAAAACGCTAATTAGCTACAATTATTTTTAAGATGGATGAAGAAACTACAAATTAAACTCCCAAACTTGCAAATAAAGGAACTTAAATTGCCCTTTAAAAGTTTAACCAGCAAATCAATTATATTGGATTCAAGTAGAGATTCCCAGTAACCCATGGAGTCACCAGCTCTGAATGCAGGTAAGACTCAACTCTAACAGGCCTGAGGATATCAGTGTGTCAGCAAACAGTTTCACAGAGAAAGGTCTTTCTGAATATGCATGTGCTAGAAATAAACCCACGAACAAAGAGGCCTCATCTCCCTGTAGGAGCGCGATTACAGGGCAGCGGGGACCTCACTGCAGGAGGGGAAGGTGGTGGGATTTTCTCTGCACTATGAAAAAGAACCTTTCTGCATCCTGGCAAGAATATGTGTATGTAATCAGGGTCGTGGGGCCAGGAAACCTCTTTAATCACTGCTATACATTAGGACAAATAAAGAAAAGCAGAGAAGCTAACTTCAGGTCAAATAAAAGCTGGGAGCTGAGGTAAGGAACCCGGAGGCCTGCCCGGAAACATCCGTGCCCGAGCGTGTTATCACGGTCAAGCGGGAAAGCGCTAGATAAAAGCTAGGAGCTGAGGTGAGGAACCCGGAGGCCTGCCAGGAAACATCCGTGCCCGAGCGTGTTATCACGGTCAAGCGGGAAAGCACTAGCAGCAATAACCCATTAGTCAGCAAGTTGTGTTTATCTGCATGCAAAGTACGTCCCTACTTTTTAGTTTAAAATTTCTCCTCTAGCCTGCACACTGTTATCTTCCACTCACAGCAGTAAGAGAGATCTTGGAAATTTAAACTAAATTACAGTAGGCCACTCCTCTGATCTCTTAGAATCAAGTGCACATTCCTCACCACGCCCTTACAGGACCCAGTCCGTAGCCGACCTTGCTTCCCATCATGCTCTCCCTAACACGGATCCTCTCTCCAGCCACCTCAGGTTTCTCCCTGTTCCTTGAATACCTAAAGCTCATTCCCACCACTCTGAGCGTGATCCCTCCATCTGGAATTCCCTTCCTCCACATGTGCAAAGGGTTCCCTCTCATGTCTCACTGTCTCATCCGGCCTCTGGTCAAATGACCACACTACCTGAAATAGAAGTGTCCAACCCCCACCTCTGCCTGACTTGTTATCTGCTTTTTACTTTATAGCATTTATCACTGTCTGGAAATTCATGTATGCATATAGGTGTCTGTATACATGGACAGGTGTGCACACGTGTGTGTGGATATACACGTTTCATTAGGTATATAGAGTTTAGTTTCTTTTTTCTTATTGGCTGTGTCTTGTCTTGTTCACTGAGATGTACTCTCAGGAAGACAGAGAACTTTTAGGTCTTAGTAAGTGCTTCATTGAATTAGGTCTAATTAGTACTGATTTCTTACTAGTTTTTCACCCACTGTGCTCTAATTCAGTGTACCTTTTTAATTATCATTTTTCTTTCATTGAGTCTTCCTGCAGGGGAAAAAATATCTTCATTTACAAGTAGAAAAAACCTGATTTGTTGGATAGTAATGTTGCAAATTGATAAATTAATATTTTGTTTTGTAAGCGCTGTTCTATTAATTTGATTAAGCCTCTTTCCTAAGAACATAGCCCCCTCTGTGGTAGAGGCAAAGACAAGAACAATCCACTGTGTGGTTTTCTGACAGCCCGTGCAGGTCTTTCTCACGAGTCTTTGTCTGAGTGTTGTGGCATTAACCGTGCCAGTTTACTCACAGTTCCCTGTGAGCAGGAAGGAGAGAATTGTACAAACAGATTTTCATGTATTAACAGTAGATGTGACCCTTTTTTCCAGAGATCTTCTTTCTACCTTTTCTTTTTAAGTTTCATCGACTTTAACTTAAATACAATCAAGGATTCCATTTTTAAAACATTGAAGTAACATGGAAGATCCCTAAATCTCGACACATATAATGATGTCAAAGGCCGAAACAACTGCCTCAGTAAAAGTGAAACCTCTTAGATCCTCATTAAAATTCCCTCACATGATAGATGCCGAAAGATCCTAGTCTGCTTTACAGCAGTTTCTGATGTACTTTGTTATAACTCCTTGAAATCAAATTAAGGCCAGGATTCCTATCAGGCACAAGGTACAGAGACTCCATCTCTGTGAAGCTGAAATGCATATCAAGAATGAAAGGGCATCCATAGGCAAACTGCAGCATATTTCACTGGAAACTTCCAGGCCTATTTCAGCCTCTCCGTTTCTAAGAATAGTAAGGCTATTCCCAAGCTACTGACAGGTTTTAAATTGCCATACCTTTTGTTGTGGCCACCTCTCATTTTTTTGTAATTCAAGAAATAGTTTTGTCAATTTCCTGATGGAGCTTCTAGCATGTTATTAAAAGAAATGTTATGTGCGTCTTCTCGTACATTCTTCATTATTTTGGTTCCCTTAAATAAGGCAGCCGAGTGGCCCCAGATCATGAATAGACTGTCTGTTATGATGCCTTCCTCAGAGAGCCTGTTCGTTATTTATTGAGCGAAAGAATAAATGACAAAAATAACAAGTACATAAATTTATTATAAATCCTAAATATATCTTCCTCAAATATGTCACAAAGAAGCACGATTCTCTGCAGTGAGAGACGGCTAATCACAGGAGACTGGTGAACAACAGAGGGGACAACGGGGAGCTGATAAATCTTGTCCAAAAATATAACTCTTGAAAACGCCTGAAATATAAGTTCTAGTGATTTACTTATTCTGCTTTATGGTGTTGTTATGTCCTTATTTACATTAAAATACATGAGAAGTGATCAAGCCAGGGATAACTCTTTGAACTTCGTGGTTCACAAATTCTGTAAATGAGGGAAGATGCAAAGTAAAACAAGCACATCTGGAAGGTTCCGGCGTCGGGCACAAGTGCCAAATGACAGGAAGAGCAGGCACAGGGAAACCTGCAGCTGGGGAGCAGAGGACACGAGAAACACGGGCAGAACAGAGGGCGCGTCAGAGAAGCTGATGGAACTGGACAAACTATTGCTTCTATTCATTCTACACAGTGCTTTTTTCCCCCTGCCCTTGACCTGTTTTTGATGTGGGCTCATGGGGACTAGTCAACTGATTGGCATCAGCTGGAATTAGAAGGCAGGTTCCTCAATGATTCTGAGAACAGGGGTAACCACTTCCAACCTCATATATGAGCATCAATGTAATAAACTGGACCCACTTAATCTGTAATGTTAAGAATGCGAGCCTGCAGGAGCTAGGAATTAGTCAAAGGCAAACTTGAATGTCATTTAAGAGGTAGATTTCTGAAGGCAAGTCAAGCCCTCAACCACGAGTCTCTCACCGGGAAGCAGGGACACCAACCACCTCCCAGGTCGGTTACGAGGAACAATCTGACACCTGCACAGTCGGGAACACGGGTTCTCACGGCATGGTGGCTTGTCATTGCTATTGGTGTCATCGTTATTATCATCATTTTTACTGTCACTGTTATTTTATTTCGGCCCATATCTGCACTGACATCACACTGTGAAACGACCAATTGCCTGAAAGAAGGACTTACCCACAAAGAGCTGGCTGTTGAGCTGTAGGAGCACATGGCCGTCGGCTGGGGCAGGCTGAGTCTTCGGTGGCAGCTGATCCACCTGCAGGGATGCTTCCTTCACGTTCCTTTCGACTCTCACGTGGTGCCACTGATTGTCATTGAAGTGAGTGGGCGACTGGACTGAGATTTCAAAAGGCCCATTCCCCACATCAAATGAAAAAGTCACTACTGTCGGAGCTGGAGATATCAGACACAAATAGTGCCCAAGTGAGTCCACACAGCAACACGCTGAGTCTCCAATATGCCTAAGAATGCACACTTACCAGATCAGAGATAATGTGTGAATGTTCTAGAAGGAACTAATGATAGCAGTACAGAAATAAGTCTTTTGATGTGGGATGAAACTAAATACCTTCGCATTTTGGAGGGAAAACAACAGATTTTAAGAAATTCATCCTCTGAGTAAATGTTCATACTGTTAAAGAGTAAGCCACTTATCCAAGGCAAGAAAATTAAATAGCATCTGATATTTTATGTAAAGACAATCGTTACAGTGATTCAGATTATATAATTTTAAAGGCATGCAGTATATATTTGGCTATTAAGATATTAATAGCAGTCTATGAGTATACCAAAATGAATGGTTGATTTAAGTAATAATTTTAACTAAGTATTTTTTTTATTCTTTTTCAAAATGTTTAGTTTTCTAAAATTTCAGACTATGAGGGTACCTTAATTATTTGAAATTAAAACTTTTAAAATTGGTTCTAAGGCTGGGCATGGTAGTTTATTCCTGTAATCCCAGCACTTTGGCAGGCCAAGGCTGGTGGATCACCTGAACTCAGGAGTTTGAGACCAGTCTGAGCACGAGAGAGACTCGCATCTCTAGAAATACTGGGCGTTGTGGCAGATGCCTGTAGTCCCAGCTACCTGTGCGGCTGAGGTAAGAGAATAGCTTGAGTATGAGGTTGCTGTGAGCTATGACTCCATGGCACTCTACCAAGGGCGGCAAAGTGAAACTCTGTTCCTAAATAAATCAATATTGGTCCTAGAGAATACCAATACTTTCCCAAATTAGCATATGTTAAAATATATATTTTCTTACAAAAAGTATAAGTTAATATCATAGAATGTTTTCAAAGGGATACAATAAGGAGATTCAGCTGATAAAATAGACATATGATTATTTTAAAAATTAAAGAATTTACTTCTAATAGAAACCCCTAGACTTCCCTGGGAAAGGATACTTACAACGTAGTTCTATCCTTATGAAATCAGTAATCCCCAGGTTCTCTAAAAATACTCCAGATGAAGCAGTTGTCTTAAAAAAGAAAGAGACATCCGCACTAAGTTCTCCATGGAAAGTGGGAAAATGAAGGTACGAAGCCTCAGTATCAAAAGAAGCAGAATTCCAAAATAATTCTGTTTTTAAGAAAAGAAAGAAAAAAATTGGAGAAAGACAAAAACAAATTCATGAAATAAAATTTTATTATTTTTAGCATTTTTATTACTAAAAATGTTGCTCATCTATACAAATCTGCTTTCCCCCCCTATTACCTAGGTAGTATATGAGACATGAGCCTGTAATTAGAGATTTTACAGGGACTGAGAGCCTGGATGCCTTCCTACATAGAAAAAGAATGATCAGAAATGGTCTGAATGTTACCTTCTATGTAAGAAAAATATTCTCAGACTAAATATTGTCAAAGCAATATTATAAAGATTTGTGTAACACTGATTAATACATTTAATTTTTTATAACTTGAAGATTTAGGCACCTACACTGCTTTGAAAAACAAAAACCCTAAAGAAGCTTAGGGTGATTTTTGTTCTACCACACGCACTTCACAGAGCTACACTCTTTTTTTTTTTTTTTTTTGAGACAGAGCC